CCTCAGTAATAATGGGTGGGGTTCAACTATCTCCATAATGACTGGGTACATATCACCTCAGGAGGGGATGCAGAGATAAAGTTTCTTGACACCTTAAATCTGTGGTTCTCAAACGAGGGGCACCGCTTGTTCAGGGTAAGCACCCTGGTGGACCGGGCCGGTTTGTTTACCTGCCGCATCCGCAGGTTCGGCTGATCGCAGCTCCCACTGGCCGTGGTTCACCGCTCCAAGCCAATGGGGGCTGCAGGAACAGCAGCAAGCACATCCCTCAGCACGCGCCGCTTCCCACAGCCCCCATTGGTCTGGAGCAGCAAACCACGGCCAGTGGGAACCACGATCGGCTGAACCTGCGGATGCGGCAGGTAAACAAACTACCCACTCCGGAATGCCTTTCACCTTCCTCTGAAGTAGATGGTAGTAACTACAGTCAGAGAGCAAATACTGTGCTAGACGGATGTCTGGTCTGGGCCACACCTGTAATTCCAATATTTCTATCTTTCCTGACTTCAATTTCTGGATCACCGCATTTCTGAAACCAGCAAAACCTTCACACAACAGACGCAAGGGCAGTAATGGGAGGTAGAAATTGTTGATAAATTAGACGAGATTTATAGTCTGTTTCCTCCAGGAATGTGGAACATTTCAGTTTTTGAGAGACCCCCAATATCCTAGTTTAAGGGCTCGGATCTCAGCTGATAGGAACCAGGGCAGCTCAGCTGACTCCTGGGCAATTCCTCGCTGGTTTTAAGCATTTTGAGGAACTGGATCATTTGCTTCCACTGAGCTTCAGCCAGTCCCAGCAGTCTGGGGTCTGGCCCGTTCACCCCATTGGAGCGCTGCACAGTCACACCCGCGGGGTGGGAGTCACTGACTCCACTGGCGCTGTGCAAAGTCTGTTCCTCTGGGGCTCTGACCCACACCTCCTTAGTGCCGTCTCCTCTTCCCCCAGCGGGTTTCTGTGCAGCGACCCTGCTGGGTGTAATCACTGTGTCGCTCATGGCGCAGTAATAGACGGCGGAGTCGCGCAGTTCGCTGGAGCTTTTCTTCAGGTGGAAGGTCTTCCCCTGATTGTCGGGTGTGGCGAAGAACCCCCGCCGGCTCCTTCTCGCCTCCTCATCGGAAGCTTCATATTGTGTCAGCAAGAGGCGAGGGGCTTCATTTGGGTGCTGCTCGTACCACCAGAGCGTAGGAGTACCGTAGGAAGTGTCATAGTCATAGATGCATTTCAGCAGCACTGGTTCCCCTTGGGATACAGTCACTCGGTCATCAGGTTGTGTCACTGACTCTCCATTAGCCCCTTCTGGGAAAAAAGTAGAAGTTTACATAGACACACAGACGGTTTTTGGCTTTAACCTGCAATGTTTATTTATCTCCCAAGCTTCCAGAGATTGGAGGGAGGGGAAGGTTTATAAACAAATGGTTACAAAAACAAAGTAGGGCTAACTCCGCATCGCCTGGAACTGGATGCAACTTAACCCTAACCCCACCATTTATACCCCACACAGAGCTGAAATGGTGCAGACACGCTACTCACCCAGAATCGGAAGTAGTGTAAGAACAGACACCCAGGGGAGGAACATATTTCAGGGATGAAGTGGGAAGGAAACTTCTTCCCACAGCCCAGGAAGGAAGCTTCTTCCTCGCCTTCCCCAGCTGTGCGGAGGAGCTGGGAGGGAGAGGTTTTGCTCAGGGAGGTGATGCCTTAAATACAGAGGCAGCTCTTTGCTCACTGGCGCTGGTCTCCGCTGCTGAGTGACTGGTGCTAACCACGCAGGCCGTCCGGTACTGCCCCCGCACTCGGCTCTCTGGCTGCTGCACAGAGCTGGAGGGGAGGGGGGAGGAGAAATTGCGGGTCGGGGGGATCCGAGACCACGTTACACAGCGGGGCTCTGAACTGCCAGCCTGTGACAGCTCTGCGCGAGAGGAGATAAAACAGCGGCCCCTTGTGGGGAAAGTGGGGGACATTTTCCCTAAACCGCTCAGCGTGTTTCTTATCTTTACTCCAGTCGGAGTATCGCATGTTAGGGAAAGGAATTCGGGTCAATCCCGCAGCTGGAGTAAATCAGTGTAGTTCCCCTGGGATCATTTAAGCTACACCAAACCCCTGTATAGCTAGCTACACTGTACTGAAGAATTGGGAAGAAAGGATTCTAGTATGAAAGTGCAGGAAGGATTCACAATCAAATGTCACACAGGGCACAGACGTGGCCGCACTATTCCTGTCTTTTCTAGGCCAGTTTTTACACGTTTTGTATGCTGCTAAATCCCATACACTTTTCTCTCTATCATCTAGCCCCGTTTAGATCTGCCCAAAGGTATGTGTCCATTGGCAGATGTTTTGGCTTCATTCTTCATACGTGTCCCGGCTATTTCCATCTTATTCCCAAATTTATCCAGATAATAAGGAGTTGTTCAGTTATCTGGTAAATCTCAGCATTTGTTATAAATTCATACCTAATTGTCTCCTGGCCTATTGCCTTTGAAAGCATTTAAATGTACGTTTGTAACTGTGTGGATTTCCAGCTTTCACATTGACAGGTTTAAGTGGAAGTAACATTTGAGTTGAAGGTTGGTAGGTTGGTCTATAAGTGGTAGATGTTCGTTGAACAAATCTTATCTAAGCTGGTAAATCTTACGTGGAAATTCATTATCGAGGTAACCAATGACCCTTTGGAACTCATTGCCACCAGGTTTACGCCTAGTCTACAGTACTAGCTAGGTCAAAATAAGCTGCATTTTGTCAGTTTTATAATGAATGCGTCCACACCACCCAGCCGGTCCTGCCGACCTAAAGGGCTCTTAAAATCGACTTCTGCCGTCCACCTGGGCCTGGTCTACACTACGGGTTTAGGTCGACTTTAGCAGCGTTAAACCGAATTAAGCCTGGACACGTCCAAACAACGAAGCCCTTTCTTTCAACTTAAAGGGTCCTTTAAACCGGTTTCTTTACACCACCTTCGACGAGGGGATTAGCGATAAAACCGGCCTTTGCGGGTCGGAATTGGGGTAGTGTGGACGGAATTCAACGTTATTGGCCTCTGGGAGCTATCCCACAGTGCTTTATTGTGAACGCTCTGGACAGCACTCTCAACTCAGATGCACTGACCAGGTAGACAGGAAAAGACCCGCGAATGTTTGAATTTCATTTCCTGTTTGCCCAGCGTGGAGAGCACAGGTGACCACGCAGAGCTCATCAGCACAGGTAACCATGATGGAGTCCCAGGATCGCAAAAGAGCTCCAGCATGGACCGAACGGGAGGTACGGGATTTGCTCGCCATATGGGGAGTTGAAGCAGTGATAGCTGAACTCCGGAGCAGTAAAAGAAATGGAAAAGTATTAGAAAAGATCTCCAAGGCCATGAAGGACTGAGGCCATAACAGGGACACACAGCAGTG